TGGCCTTTAAAGCCCTAAACGGTTCCGGCCCAAGCTACCTATCCGACCGCATCTCTGCCTATGAACCCACCAGGACTTTGAGATCTTCCAGGGAGACCCTGCTCTCGATCCCGCCTGCTTCTCAAGCTCGGCTGGCGGGGACGAGAGATAGGGCCTTCTCGGTGGTGGCTCCTCGGCTGTGGAACGCCCTTCCTACGGACATTAGACTAGCACCATCTCTAATGGTATTCCGCAAAAAAGAGAAGACCTGGCTGTTTGAGCAGGCGTTCCAATAATTAGTGCAATGATTGGTTAATGAACACTGGAATGGAACAATGGATGACGAATCTGGAACATGTTTTTGATGACAAGACGACAGTGAATGGGTATTGTAGTAACTGTTTATTAATTGTGTAATGTGTTAGGTTGTTAACTGTTTCTATACTGTAGCACTGAATTTTTGCTGTTCGTATTTGTTGTGAACCGCTGTGAGTCGCCTTCGGGCTGAGAACAGCGGTATATAAGTAAGGTAAATAAATAAATAAATAAATTTTATTTATTTCTATTTATTCGGAGGTTCCAAATGCTTGCTCGAAGAGCCAAGTTTTTACTCTTTTCTGAAAGGTCAGGAGGGAGGGGGCTAATCTAATATCCCTAGGCAGGGAGTTCCACAGCCGAGGGGCCACCACCGAGAAGGCCCTGTCTCTCGTCCCTGCCAGACATGCTTGCGAAGCAGGCGGGGTCGAGAGCAAGGCCTCCTCGGAAGATCTCAAGTTCCTGGAGGGTTCGTAGAAATAGATGCGTTCAGATAGATAAGTTGGGCCGGAACCATTTAGGTTGTATTGTATAGAAAACCCACAAGAGTAAAAACAACAACAACAACAACTTGGTATTATACTAATTGTGCTGGAGGAAAATTCTGGGAGTGCTTTGGACCGCAAAAAGATCAAACCAGTCCATACTCCAGGAAATAAAGTCTAACTGCTCACTGGAGCAGATATGCAGATGTTGCCACTTTGATGGCCGAAAGCGAAGAGGAGCTGAGGAGCCTTCTAACCAAGGTGAAAGAAGTAAGTGCAAAAGCTGGGTTGCAGTTCAACATCAACAATGTGGAGGCAGTGACAGACTTTGTATTTCTAGGCACAGAGATTACTGCAGACATAGACTGCAGCCAGGAAATCAGAAGATGTTTATTTCTTGGAAGGAGAGCAATGTGCCCAGTCCTGTTCAACATCTTTATTAATGACTTAGATCAGGGGTCCTCAAACTATGGCCCGGGGGCCGGATACGGCCCTACAAGGTCATTTACCCGGCCCTCACTCAGGGTCAACCTAAGTCTGAAACGACTTGAAAGCACACAACAACAACAACAACAACAATCCTATCTCATCAGCCAAAAGCAGGCCCACACTTCCCATTGAAATACTAATAAGTTTATATTTGTTAAAGTTGTTCTTCATTTTAATTTTTGTATTGTTTTTAAGTGTTTTTTTGCACTACAAATAAGATATGTGCAGTGTGCATAGGAATTCATTCATGTTTTTTTTTCAAATTATAATCCAACCCTCCAACAGTTTGAGGGTTTGTGACCTGGCCCTCTGTTGAAAAAGTTTTGTGTGTATATATGTTTGTGTGTGAAGGATTAGAAGGCATGATCATCAAGTTTGCAGACGACACCAAATTGGAAGGGATAGCCAATACTCCAGGAGACAGGAGCAGAATTCAAAATGATCCTGACAGATTAGAGAGATAGGCCAAAGCTAGCAAAATGAAGTTCAACAGTGACAAATGCAAGATATCAAGTTTCAGCAGTAGCCAGGGGAGCTTTTCTACAGTTTAGACTTGTGCGCCAGCTGCGCCTGTACCTTGAGAAGTCTGATCTGGCTAGAGTTGTCCACGCTGTGGTTACATCTCAAATAGATTAGTGCAGTGTGCTCTACGTGGGGCTGCCTTTGAAGATGGTTCAGAAACTCCAATTGGTCCAACGGGCAGCAGCCAGATTACTAAGTGGAGCATCATACAGGGAACATACCACCCCCCTGTTATGTCAGCTCCACTGGCTGCCGGTTCATCTCTGAGCTCAATTCAAAGTGCTTATTTTGACCTATAAAGCTCTATATGGTTCTGGCCCAGCTTACTTGTCCGAACACATCTGCCTCTACATCCCACCTCATAATTTAATATCATCCGGAGAGGCCCTGCTCTCGCTCCCGCAAACATCGCAAATGCATCTGGTGGGGACGAGGGACGGGGGCTTCTCGGCTTTGGCCCCACGCCTATGGAACGCACTCCCAAATGAGATAAGATCAACCCCATCCCTCCTGGCCTTTAGGAAGAAATTAAAATCATGGTTTTGGGACCAGGCTTTCGGACAACAGACTTAAGGAGCACTTTAGCTGGATATCAACTGGAATGACATTACAGCTGTTTATATTGCAATACTGTTTATGGTTTTAATTAATGCTGTATTCACTATTTTTAATTATTGCTGTATGTATTTTAGTTGGGATTTACTATTGTGATTTTTATGTATTGGCATCATGTCGTTATTAAATGTAAACCGCCCTGAGTCCCCTGTGTTGAGAAGAGACAGGGTATAAATACCAAAGATAAATAAATAAATAAATACTCCACTTAGGCAGAAAAAATGAAATGCAAAGATACAGAATGGGGGACGCATGGCTCGAGAGCAGTACGTGTGAAAAAAATCTTGGTGTCCTTGTAGACAACAAGTTAAACATGAGCCAACAATGTGATGCAGTTGCAAAAAAAGGCCAATGAGATTTTGGCCTGCATCAATAGAGTCTACGTCCAGGGAAGTCATGCTACCCCTCTATTCTGCCACACCAGGAATATTGTGTCCAATTCTGGGCACTGCAATTGAAGAGAGATATTGACAAGCTGGAATGTGTCCAGAGGAGGGCGACTAAAATGATCAAGTAAGCCCTATGAGGAGTGGCTTAAAGAGCTGGGCATGTTTAGCCTGAAGAAGAGAAGGCTGAGAGGAGACATGATGAGTGCCAGGTATAAATATGTGAAGGGAAGTCATAGAGAGGAGGCTTGTTTTCTGCTGCCCTGGAGACTGGGACACAGAACAACCATGGCTTCAAACTACAGAAAAGGAGATTTCACCTGAACATTAGGAAGAATTTCTTAACTGTGAGAGCTGTTCAGCAGTGGAACTCTCCACCCCAGAGTGTGGCAGAGGCTCCTTTTTTGGAGGCTTTTAAATAGAGGCTGTATGGCCATCTGCGGGAGTGCTTTGAATGCGATTTTCCTGCTTCTTGGTAGGGGGTTGGACTGGATGGCCCACAACTCTAGGATTCTATGATTGTAGATTATATGGCAGTGTAGACTAGGC